ACACCTGATGGGTAGTATACACCCAGTGGACGGGAAACCTCCACCAACCCAGGTCATAGTGCACAAAATGACTGGGACATCGGAATACCCGACTCAATCGCATTGGGAAATCGCGAGCAGTCACTATGGGTAATGATATTTCCATCAACTATATATTGATATATAGATTTTGGAGAAACATATAACCGGAAGTCTACAATTGTCGACATACATTTCTCAACTAGATTGAAAAAACCTTTCAAGTGATTCAGATCCAAAGACCATGGCCATGGAAAAGTGTGAACAACACTCGGACTGAACTCAAGCAAAGGGTATAATCTAGGTAGAAATAATCTTGCTCAATAATGAGAAGGTATTCATAAGCAATACCTACACCAGTTTTCTTCTGGAAACAGAATTGAGAACAACGAGGTGGTGAAACAAAGAGCAAGTATTGTAGCACAAGGGTTCACAAGATACCGAACTATTCTCCAGAGGTGGAATCTCTTTCCGATAACTTATATCATTGGCAGTACAAAATCATCTATCTCTGCAGTTGATAGATGTAGTGATCACATATCCATGTGAATCACTAGATTCAGACATATATGATTGATTTCCAATGGAATCTCAATTCTGAATCAAAATACAAAATGCAACATACATTGTGTAAAGTCAGCAAGTCACCACAAGACTTATTGTTGTCGGTACATATGGTACAACCGAGGTAGTGAGATCCTTATACACAAGGATTACTCCTACAATGATGATTATCCATGTTTGTGTGTTTGCAATGGCAACACATGTAATCATCTAAATGGCGGAGTTTAAAATGAAGGATTTGGGTGAACCAAAATACCGCTCGTTACTACAACTTGAGCATCTTAATTCATACATTATGGTATACTATGTTGTCTATATCCAAAATATATGGGAGAAATTCATTGTGGACAAATCTTATCCATCCATAACTCTCATGGTAGTTCATTCTCTAGACGTAGAGAAAGACCTATTTAGACCAAGAGATGATGGAAATGAGATATTGAGACTCAACGTTCCATAATGCCATTGGATCCACCAAACACAATTGGTTGGTACTCAATAATATCTTTCGATATCTCCAAGGCATCAAACATCTTGTCCTGGTTTTTCAGTTTCACAGAAATATGAACACTGATATCATTGAATACATTGATCAGATCCCCACTATGTCAGATCGTAGACAAGTCTAGTGTTCCTACTAGGTGTGGTAGCCCTCTCATGGAGAGTCTTCAAAACAGACCTCATGGTTACGTCCACCAACCATTATCTCAACGATAATGTTTCTTGTGTTGCCCGGATGCAAACAAGTTACATAATAAGCAATATCGCTATATTGCATATCTTGCAAGTCAAACCATATGACTGATTTGTTCACGAAGTCTCTACCAACATCTACATTCCAAATGTATGTTCTTAGAATTGGTGTGTGACGGCTTCGAAATTTGCAAGAATCAGGGGAGGTATCTTCCTGAAGTGTTCCTGTTCAATGCATCATATTATACTCCTTTTCCCTTCATGAGTTTACTATACGGGTTCTCATAAAGGTTTTTAATGAGGTAATATCAACATGAGATCATATGTCATACTTTCAGTTTTCCCCACCGGGGTTTTTAGGAAAGTATATACGACATATTTATTGTTCTCTTGATTCTATGAGTATTCTCGTATTGAGTTAAAGGAGACAATAACCATTATATGTTGCATAATTTTCTTCTTATTTTCCCACTGGGTTTGAAGGAGTTTTGGCAACATATTATACTCCTCACATTTTTCCCACAGGTTTTTGGAGGAGGCTCTTTTCAACATGATGATATGGCATGGACAAGCGTAGATTAGAGGGAGTGTTAGGATTTAATTAAGACACTTAATTGAAGGGAAATCTCCCCTTGTCCTAACCACCCCTCCGCAACAACCGCATCCCTCGATGCGCTGTTCAGGAATGGACGCGTCCCTCTGTTACGTCCTCTCAGATTGTATATAAGCCTAATCATTAATGAAAGAGACCAACAGTTTTGCTTTACTATTCATTCATCTCTCGTTCAATCTCAAACACTCGTTACGAGTTACATGCAACAGACCAGAGAAAAAAAGTTAATCAAACGATCAAATAAAATGAATAAAAGTAGCTAGTATATGCGATTTTGAAATCATGTGCATCGTCTGGTGCGTGTAGTCCTTCCGGCAGGTTGACCGTTGTTTGCACAAGGTCTTGAACATGCAGAAAACATTCGCCTTCCTCAATCCACGTACATGAATAGAACAGGAACAGCTAGTATAGCTTGTCTCTCGTGCAAGAATTGAGGCCTTGATGCAACTCTGGATTTCATTGATTCGATGGAGTGCTTGATTTGGACTATCACTTTCCTACATAGATTCCTTGATGCCCGTGCCTGCGGCTTGGACGGCCCTTGATCACGTCCAGCGTACATGAATCAGCCCAAGTTCCCAACACGAGATTATGCGGCAACAGGGGATCCAGCACGGATCCGCGTGAGAGAGTTCCGGCACAGCGACAGGATGCAGAACCGAGCGGCGACTTGGCAACACTGGTCTGGTGATGAAGCTGACGACGACGATGACCCGGACCAGCGCAGACTGCCAGCTACTCGCAGAGGTGCCGCTGATCGGGCCTCGGCCGGATCGAGTCGGCGACTTGGGGCGGTGGCTAATAGCGGATTCCGCGCAGAGAACCGAGTGTGCGGCGGCACTTGATTGCCTGATCTGTAGCAAGGCATCTTTACGAAGAATAGAACAGATCGATCCCCAAGTTGACCTTGGGTTGGAAATCCGTAGAGTACGCAGCGGAATTGAGTACGGATCAAATCAAGTCTGATGAGTATGTCGTTGACCGGCTTGGATGCCAATGTTAGAAATTTAAGGTTTGTGGTCTATCCCCTATTCCTCTGCGCTTATCCGTGGTGCCGCTCACAATTTGCATTTCTGAGGCTAGGAGGTAGGGACCTTCTCATACTGTCTTTCCAAAGAGTCCACCTCTTATACAGATATAAGATTTCTAGTTTTCCACTAGTTTCCGGAATAGAGTTCAGATCAAATTACCAACCACGATCATATTTGTTTGTCAATGGATTCTACCTGTTACGTCCCCGGAGCACGCACTTGTGAGCAACGCGCCATAATAGAGTATAAATTCCTTTAATTATGTAGATCAACATTAGGGTTGTAATCTAATTATACGATCTAGCTCCTTCCAATCATCAGTGTACCCAAGTAGTCTTTTCAATATAAATAGTATATTGTGTTCCACTGATAATCGACCAGCTTCCTTAAGCATATATTACTTAAGTACATTCCAGCAAGTAACAATTCCATACTAAACATGTAAATCAATTCCATGTATAAATACATGTATGATTCCATAATGAGGTATTCTGAATGTTAACAATTTTAATCGATTTAAGTATAGTTGCAGGACATATAATTCCAACGGAGCAGAGAAGGACCCCCAAGCCACAGGTACACCACGTCCTTGTTGTCGATGGCCGGGCCGTCTTTGGCGGGGCGAACGCAGCGTGTCATAGCCGGTGCCTAGCAGTGCGCGGTTGTATCCATGCAGTCACATGGTGAGGTGAGGTGGCTGCAATCCCGCCTCGTGCAAGAGCTTCCCGACGCCGGCGCCCGTCGCAGGTCATCTCATCTATCTAGCTTCAGTTTAGACACAGTGGAGTTTGCTGGGTTGGTTAGCTGTACCAAGAAATCTGAACCATCTAATCACATGTACTCTGATGTGTCAAGATTCGGTCAAAACAATGTCCATGTCACACAAATGTGCAGTCTGGCCAGAACGTAGACACTCAATACACAATAGTAGTAGTGCACAAAACTGGCAACATGACAGGCTGATCTCACCATGTGCAACAGAGCAAACTCAATTCATAAATCAAATCTACTCCCGCGACAAACAAGGCGTGCCTGACAAGAGTCCCTGATCATCTCAAAACGCTCACCAGATACAACCAACGGACGGCGTCGATGTAAAGCGCTCATATCATATGTGCCCGAGACCAGAAACTTCGTCCCTTATCTTTGTCTCCGTTCTGTGTTACATACATCATGGACTTTCTTCGTCGTCCGTCCGTCGTGGAGAGAGTCTGGATGGCGACATGAAACGGAAAATGGCGGCCTCCTCCACCACGTGGCGCCTCTCGTCCACGCAAAGGACACGTGCGCACGCCTGGAAAGCGTACGTGTCGCTTGGGACTCTACCCGAAGATGATCGCGTTCCGCTAGTCGGCAGCAGCTCATTTGCGCGCGCCGTACCGGCCGGCACCACCAAAAGATTCAGGAGCTGCTTTTGGATTAGTTAATTGCAAATTACGATTCAGGTCGGATCTGACAGGGAAATCAACGCACCATCTTTGCTTTGCTACTACTAGTAGTCTGTAGTCTAGCGGTGCCGAGCTTGTGCGAGGAGCAGAGCATCGTGTCCATGGAGACCCAGCAGGAGCCGACCAAAGCGGGCGCGGCGGTGGCGCCGCCGAGGGTCGCCGGCGAGCCGGCCGGTCGCGGCGGCGAGTTGTCGACCGTAAGATTTGTTCTTTCTTTCACCTACTCACTGATGCTCTGCACTCTTGTGTATGATTAGATCTCTTGGTGGTCTGCTGAAACAAGATAAATTGGAAGCCCGTGTGCAATATCCACCAAGCACCTAATCGTGTTGGAATGGCTGGCTGAACCTTATTGATAGTGTTTAAAATCGTGTGCGATATTCTTGCATCAGTTTGGTGCTATGCTGACTCTGATCGATCTGTCTTGCTTCTGCAGATGGACCTCCAGTACCCACACCAGCACAGGAAGGAGCGGTGGCTCCAGGTTCAGCAACTGACGGAGGTAGTCCATCAGCTGCTTCAAGTTTCGGTTAATTTGGCTGCAGGTTTTCACTATTAATTTGTCTGGTATGAATGCAAAATCACACGAAATGAATGAACTCGCGCGCAGACGCGGTGCTTGCCAAGTTGGAGATGAATCGGAAGCTGTCGATGGTGAAGGCATGGGAGGAGAACCAGAAGAGCAAGGTCGACAACAGATTCCTGACTCGTCTCAAACTTAACTGAACTGAACTTTGCACAAGAGAATTCTCTGCATCAATCTTTGCTAATCCTGTCGTACCTACCTTAAGTGGTGCAGGGCTGAACACAAGATGTCGTCCATCCTATCATGGGAGAACACCAATGTAACATCCCGGATATAACTTTCCCAATTTGTACTCCAACTCTTGCCGTTTTTGGTGTTAAGTTATATTTATTTCTCGGGTTCGGGTCTTTGTCTCCGTGTGTTATTGTCTTTGTCATGCATCTCATATCATGTCATCATGTGCATTGCATTTGCATACGTATTCGTCTCATGCATTCGAGCATATCTCCCGTTGCCCGTTTTGCATTCCGGCGCTTCGTTCTCCTCCGGTGGTCATTTCTAACTTTCTTTCGTGTGTGGTGATTAAACATTTTCGGATTGGACCGAGACTTGCCATGCGGCCTTGGTTTACTACCGGTAGACCACCTGTCAAGTTTCGTATCATTTGGACTTCGTTTGATACTCCAACGGTTAACCGAGGGACCGAAAAGGCCTCGTGTGTGTTGCATCCCAACACCCCTTCAATTTGGCCCAAAATCCACCAAACTCTGCTCCATCATCTAGATCGTTCGATCACGATTGCGTGGCCGAAAACCGCACCTCTTTTGGACTCTCCTAGCTCCACTTATGCCTATAAATACACTCCCTCCGTTTTCGGATCTCCCCTCTCCCCGAAACCCTAAAAAAAAGAGATCCCCGCCGCCGCCGGACAACGTCCGCGCCGAGCCGGACATGTCCGGATCCGCCGCCGCCTACCGCTGCACGCCACGTGGCGCTCGCCTGTCCCCGCCGCCGCCGCGGCCCGGGAGCCCGAGGCCGGCCCCCGCGGCCCGCATCGCCGCCCGCCGCCGCCTCGCACCAGCCCCACCTCCTTCCTCGTCGCCGGGCCACCGCACCGCCGCCTCCATCGCCGCTGGCCACCGCCTCCTCTTCCCGACGC